GTGTGTGTGTGTGTGTGTGTGTGTGTGTGTGTGTGTGTGTGTGTGAGAGAGAGAGAGAGAGAGAGAGAGAGAGAGAGAGAGAGAGAGAGAGAAACCATTTCTCATTTCTTTTTTTCTTTAAAAAATAAAGAAATATTTGTTAGGTTTTTATTACCTGTGCCTTTAAATTATAGTATAGAACAAAGCTCATCAATACCATAATTTCTTTATGCTGTCTTATATTCCTTCTTATATGTATCAAAACTCATACTTGACAATGAGTTCTGGGTTGCAAATGAGGATTTATTTTTGCACCTGTCTAATGTGCCTTTGTCCACCAGCCAAACAAAAATGTATGCAAGTGTTATTCTTTTTTTTTTTTTTTTAATGTTGGACCTCTCATATGCTAACCTACTGCCTTACCACAGCTTCACTTCTTAAAGTATTTCCTTGTGAAATGTGTCTGTACATATATAGTCTCTATCCCTTTAACAGGAAAAACTTGTATGTGTACTTTTGGAGGTGTTGTTTTTTGGTTTTGTTTTATTGTGATAAAGTAAGCAAACTAGGCTGTGTCCCTCTGAGCCACTGCAGTTCAATGACATTAAAAACATCCACTGTCAAGATTTTCTCATCACCCCAGTCAGAAAGTCAGCATTCATGAAGTAACCCAAAGGTCAGAAGAGATGGCTGCTTTTCTAGAGGAGCCAGGTTCAATTCCCATCATCCACCATGCAGCTCACAACCATCTGTAACTCGAGTTCCAGGAGATCTGCCACCTCTTCTGGCCTCCCTGGGTACCAGATACATATGTGGTACACAGACATACATGCAGACTGGCAAAACACACACACACACACACACACACACACCTTAATTTTTCAAAAACAATAACCTTCATTTTCCTCCTTCCCCTTAACCTTAATAACCTTAAGCCTACATTCTATTTGATGAATTCATCTTTCCTATGTTTCCTATGAGGAGATCTTGTGGAATTTGCCCTCTTGTGTCTGATTTTTCTGGGCACACCACCCTCGGGAGTCACCTTGTAGTAGTAGCAGCAGCAGAATTTACGTTTTACTTGTGGTTTTGAGGCAGTCTGTCAATTTTTTTTCAGGGCCTGAAGTTTCTGGCCAGAATCATTACCCAGATTTTTTTTTTTTAGAACGGGCCTGGGAAACATCTCTTTGAAAATGTAAATATCAAGGAAGACCCAAGTCCCTGCCTCTCTGACACCAGGGAGGTTTAGCCAGGCTTTTTGTTCCTAACTGTAACCACCTGTTCGATAAACATTTGTAATGTGTTATTTCTTGATGCACAAGGCAGTTGGCTGGCTTGGTGGATCCCTAGGCCAGTCTAGGATGAAGGAGGAAAGACTGTCTCAAAGAAGGAGGTCACACCTCCTACCCAAGAACAAATTATGGTGAGCCTTGGGAATTGGCAAAGGAAGCCTGGGCTCTGTGGATAGAGCTTCCTGTATACACAGTGGGGTTGCTCCTGCTGTCTGTACACTTGCCACTCTGTCATCTCGTTGCCACCCTCTCTGTGACTGTGGCTCGCTCTGTTGAATTCTTGCTCAATAACAAAACTGGTCTCTTCATTTGTAAAAGGCATTTTGACTGCCAGATCTTTTTTTCTCTATCTCCTCAATGATCATCTTTGATTATCTTTGGTCATCTATGGTCTGGCGCCAGGTTGCACAAGGAAAGGGACTCCTGCCACTAGATCATAGATGACCAAAGATAACCTCCTAACAAACTCACTAGTCAGCAGCTCCCAGCTGCAGGGAGGATAGCTGGAAACAGTTTATCCAGGTCTAAGTACCACCAATGAGGATTTGCAACAGCTCAGGATCAGGGCCAAGGCTGTCCAGGGCCACAGAGGGAACCAGGCAGAGGCTGAGGCCAGAGACAGATGTGGTCTTTGGAAGCCAGGCTTTGAGAGTCCAGGCTGGAGCCAAGTATCCCCAGCTATAAGCACATTGTGACTGTACAGCTGGCTTCTGTTCCACCAGTGTAGGGCTTACAGTGAGGTCTTCTGTCCTACCTCAAATGTGAGCACCTGCAGCCACAACCACTCTGGGTTGAATGCAGTACTGCACAACCCATGTGAATGTATTCACTTAACACCCCTAGCTGCCCTAGTAAGTAGGAAAGTATTCTACCCATTTTACAGATGGGAAGGTAACTTTTTCTAGCCCAACAATTGGCTAGACCTATGCAGTCTGCACCAGCTTCATTTCTGTAGCTGTGAAAAAAAGCAACTCAGAATAAAGGGTTTATTTTAGTTCACAATTGCAGGTTACAAGGAAGTCATAGTGGTGGGAATCTGAGACAGCTGGTTACGTCACTTCCGTGGTCCAGAGCAGAAAGAGATGGACGCATACATGCTTGCTTGTGCTCAGATGGATTTCTCCATTCTTGTACAACTGAGGACCCCCTTGCCTAGGTATGGTGCCACCCACAGTGGGTTGGGGCTTCTTATACCAGTTAATTAAGGTAAACCCCCTCCATTTCAGATGTGCCACAGGCCAACCTGATGTGGACAATCCTTCACAGAAACTCTCCTCACAGGTGATTCTAGACTGTGACTGTTGGGAGAGATGTTGGGCCCCAGCCTCCATGGGGTCTCCCTGAGTTGATAACCACAGATGCATCCTGTTTTCTAGTCATGGATTACAGCCTGGGCCTTGCCCCACGGGCATTAAAAAATACGAGCTCTTACCCCTGAGTTTTTTCCACTGTGCCATAAGTCTATATATAAGGCTGCTCCCTCGCTGCAAAAAACACAGACATACACACATTATCTTAGCGCAAGTGACCGGACGGCTGCGTTTTTAATTAAATCTCCAGGTTTTCACCCAATACTCAGACTTAGGCGTGGTGCAGAACCCACAAGTGGAGGTTCCATTAGACTTAGTTGTGGAGTGGACGCCACATGTGACAAGTTCGACAGCAAAAGCTAACTATCACACAGCCCATAGATAATTATGAAGGATCTTTGCCAAGGAAGTAGGAATCCAGAAGAGGGTCTTCTGGTCCTTAAGGGGGCTTCAGACCAGAAAGTAGACACATGCAGAACAAACGGTAATATGCAAAGGAAGGGATTGTGGCAAGGAGAGGAAGGGAGCAATCAGAGAAGCCAGGCTGGGGGGGTCAGCAACTGGAAAAGAGAGTCTTGGCTGAAAGTGCATCCCAAGCAACAAAATGCACCCAGGAGAAGGAGACCAGTGGGGGGGGGGGGAGGAGATAACGACTATCTGGGCTCTGCTTGGGCTGGAGGAGGAGAGAATGGCCTCAGCCAAGGACAGGCCATGTCTGTCCTTTTGTAACAATGTTAGGGATTTCAGATTTGTTTCTAAGGACAATACAGAGCCATGGATGGCTTGAGGGATCTGCTGAGACATTCCACCAGGTTCTAACCCAGAACATCTGAGTTGAGGGGAATTCTTGACCGTGGCCTTTGTAAACCATAGTCAGAATACACATTCTTGAGATTCAAGGACTCTGATTTTGTGATAGCTGTGTTTGTTCCCACAGACAGGACCTAACAACGAACTGAACTCAGTCTTGTTGGCTTGTTTTTCTTAAAGGAGAGATGGAGATTGCTCAGCAGGTAAAGGTGCTTGATGCCAAACCAGATGACCCGAGGCCCACGTGGTGGAAGGACAGAGCCAACTCCTCCTGCAAGTTGTCCTCGACCTCCAGATACACGCACCACCCACACATGAGCACAGGAAACAAATTAAAGTGTGACTAAAGGTGTTACTAAAGGTTCTCCTATGGCCTTCACACACACACATGCGCGCACATACACACAGCATTAGAAAAATACTACAGCAGAGGCAAGCACTGAAAATACCAACTACACCCGGTGACAATGCCTGCTTTAAGGGTTCAAATCCAGATTTTTGTTCCCTATGGCTCAACCAGTGATTCATGTTTATAAGTATTGGTTTTCTTAATGGCAGAATGGGTATACATATGGTAATTATTATATTGCCAGTGAGGGCATAACCATCCCCAAATATGAAGGAGTTGAGTGAAAGCCAATTGCAAGTGGACAACATAAACACCTCTAATGTCACACTCAGCACTTGGGAGTCAGAGTCAAAAGGATCAGGGGCTTAAGGTCATTCTGGACCCAGTCACATACAGGAGCGTTCTCCACCGTCCTTCGAGGTGTCTAAAAAAAAAAAAAAAAAAAAAAACGGGACATAGATTCAGGGGTTAATACTATTCCCCACATCATCAGAGGGCTAGCAATATGAGTTCCCAAGAGGCAAACTGTATGCTTGGTCCAGCACCCCACTGGAGAATGAGTTAGTCCTGGGGAAGGCCAAATTACTTCCAGAAAGCGATTGGCACAGAAGTTAGATAACCATAACAACTTAATTTGGGACTAGGGATGTAGAGTGCAGGCCTAACCTGCACAAAATACTGAGTTCCACCCATCCACCCCCTACTCTACCCCCCCCCACCTTTGAAATATATCTTGTGGTGTGTGCCTATAAATACAAGCTCTTGGGAGGTGGAGGCAGGGGGACCAGAAGTTCAAAGTCATGCTCCTATTCAGCCTGGACTACATGAAACTCCGAAACTCAAACTGTAATATAGCTCAGCTTTTGATCCTCCTGCTTCAGTCTCCTCAGAGGTGAGGAGTCAGAATAAGCCATCATGGCCAGCTTTAATTTTTAGTTATTGTGTGTGTGTTTGTATACTCATGTCATAAAGTGAAGGTGGAGGCCAGAGAATCTGTGTGAGTCAGTTCCCTTCTCCTCCTATGCTGGTTCCGGGATTGGAACTCTGGTTGTCAGGCTTTTCTGCTGAATCATCTCACCGGCTCCCCACTCCCAACTTTTTTTTCTTTTTGGTTTTTTCGAGACATGGTTTCTCTGTGTAGCCCTGGCTGTCCAAAAACTCTATCTGTAGACCATTCTGGCCTCGAACTCACAGAGATCCACCTGCCTCTGCTTCCCTGGGAGTGCTAGGATTAAAGGCCTGTGTGCACCAGCACTGCACCACACAATGCCTCACGAATTGAATTTGCGTGTCATCCTTGCACGGGGGCTATGCTAATGTCCTCTGCATCGTTCCAATTTTCGTGTATGCGCTGCCGAAGCGAGCACCCAGCTTTCTTTTATTTATTTAAATGCTGTTGGGATCATCAGGACCAGGGAAGCCATCTCAGCAGCCAGCCTTAGTCTCCTCCAGCTCTTGTCCCTTGCTCTAGGCCGAGTGGGCGGGCCTGGCACGGGCGGGGCGCTCCTAAGCCACGCCCCTTGGAGGGCGTGGCGGGTTTTCGTGAGCTCCTTATCGCGCCCGCGCGCGCGCGCCCGCGCAGCGGCCCCTCAGGTACGCGGACAAGATGGCGGCGGTAGCGGGGGACAGCGCTATGGAGGTGGTGCCGGCTCTGGCCGAGGAGGCCGCGACCGAGGCGACGGGCCCCAGCTGCCTCGTGCAGCTGCCGGGCGAGGTGCTGGAGTACATCCTGTGCAGCGGCTCCCTCACGGCGCTCGACATCGCCCGCGTGTCCAGCACCTGCCGTCGGCTGCGCGAGGTGTGCCAGAGCAGCGGCCAGGTGTGGAAGGAGCAGTTCCGGGTGAGGTGAGCCGTCCGCTCCGTTCCCGCAGCGCCTCGGGCCCGGGCCTCGCGTGGGCCCCACCCCGCCACCCTCCCGCCCGCGCGGCGCCCCCTCCAGGCCCCGCTTCCCGCGGCCGCAGACAAAGGCCTGGGCCGGGGCCTCCGGAGCCCCGATGGGGTCGCCTCAGCCGCCCGCAGCCCGGCCTCCCGCTCAGCCCGGCGGCCGCGGCCTCCCGAGGCCCCCGGCTACGCGACGCGCATCTTTTGTGGCCCGCTCCGTGCAGGATGTTTACGTGCAGGCAGCATTGCGTGCCTTCCCGGCTGACTAGGATGCCGGGGTCGGACCTGCCATCCCATCTCGTGACCTTGGGGGGGGGAGTGGGGGGTGGAGGAGGGGATGTCCACCTCCCTTCTCGACAGCCTGGGTCTTCCATTCCGTGATAAGACACCCCCCGGCCGCCGCCGCCTTTTGCAGTGTGGGGGAAATCAAATGAGATGCGGTCCCGGATTGCAGGGCCTGGTGCTGAGGAGGCGCGCCATCAATGAGAACCGTTAGCATCATCGCCGTGATTGTGGCCACCACAGGGATGGGGGGGGTTATGCTGGCGGTGGAAGCATTGCCTTCGTGTCGCCACGGCAAGGTCACTGCATTGAATAGTGAGGGAGTGCATGTATGCCCGATGGAGATTGCAACTGGAGCCACTGCCAGCCCCCCCCCCCCATTTTCCCCGCAGACTCCTCCGCTGTCAGTGGTTTCGCAGTCTCCACTGAGCTGAGAAGGGTGTTTTCTCCCCTCATAGGTGGCCCTCCCTGATGAAGCACTACAGTCCCACCGACTACGTCAATTGGTTAGAGGAGTATAAAGTTCGGCAGAAAGCTGGGTTAGAAGCACGGAAGATTGTAGCCTCCTTCTCCAAACGGTTCTTTTCAGAACACGTAAGCACCTGTTATGTAGCTCGGGCTCTGTGTGTGTGTGTGTGTGTAACTACATGTTTAAGTACATGTGTATGCTCGCCTTAGCTGCTCGGCTCATACTGCTGTTTCCCTTTTCAGTGCTCACACAACCCCTTACACGGAGTCATTGTGTCGTCCTCCCTCCCATCCAACAACAGGGAGCCATTTGTCCCTGCCAGCCCTACTTTTCTAAAGCCAGAGAGAGTGGGGTGTTGAGGACGGGGAGGGATACATAGGGCGTTGCCCATTGGGTCCAGATAAGCGTTCTCTTCAAGATTGTTACACTTGCTTTGTGCACCCCCACCCCCCCTCCTCGTGATCTGAGAGTCATCAGTGATTGGATACTTGCACTTGTTTTCCCAGAAGGCTGCTAAAATGAATGTGGCCCTACTTTAGTAATGAGCCTCGTTATTTGTTAATGTACCTGTGTTGTTATTTAAGAAAAACAGCACACTGGGTGCACTGGAGAAAGATGCTGTGTGACAGGGTTCAAGCAGAGGGGTTTTTTATTAGGAAAAGGGATCATTAAAAGGGGAAAGGGAAGGGGGAAGACCTCCGGCATCTGGAGACCGAAGCAGCAGGAGAGAGGAAGGGGGGGGCGGAGAGAGGAAGAGAGGATGGGAGGTGGGCAGGGTCTTTTTAAAAGGAAACAGTAAATACAGGTGGCACTCTTAGTGGCTGCAGCTGAGGGCCTGTCCTGTCAGAACCCCAAGGACTGGCCAGTATAGATGCCTGAATACTAACAACCAGGATTCAAAGCTGCCTACAGATCAGTTCCATTGCTCTCCCAAAGAGAACTACCCTGCATCCTTTGCTCCTTGCAGTTTAGGATTTTTGTTACCACTGCTGCTCTTTGTTCTGTTTGAGTAGTTTCACCATGTAGCCCAGGCTGGCCTTAAACTCATGTCCAGCCTTCTGAGGGACTGGGATTAACAGTAAGCATCATCAGGCCTGGCCCAAGTTGTATGTTGCTTTTCCTCAGAGGCTGAAATGTGTGTTTCTTTGATGGTTTGTCTTCCCCTTGTCCAGAATGCCCCATGGAAATCAGTTTTCACTCCTGATGCTATTTTTCATAGGGCTAGGAAATTGTCCCCTCATATTTTCAGTTCCTCCACAGATTGAGCATCTACCAATAGAGCTGATACTGTTTGTTTTATTGTTCTGGCTCGATGGAGGTTGTTTTCTCAAGATTGCTTCTGACTTTCCACTCTGCTGTTAACAGAATATGAAGAGTGTTTTCGGTTTCGAAAGGGAAGATTTGAACTTTCAACACATTAAACTCAGTCCCCCATGGGGACTACAAATAGACATTCTCTGATTTGTTTGTATAAAATGCTTATTAATGGCAGAATGAACCAAGGTTTTGTTCAGCCTGGAACAGTGGCCTAGCCAGTCTATAATCACAAGTGTTCAGTACTGACTTAAATGTGTACACACACATAGGTATTTTGGTGCAGGGTGTGTATGATGCAGTTGGTCACAGCCTCTCCTTGTAAACCAACTGGGTTTGTGTGTGCTTTTAACAGTCTGCCTTTATCTAATAACATGGATTGGTGAGCTTTCCCCTTCTCCTTTCCCTGTACCGCTGCTTGCTTCATTAGAAGCATGTGGAGGGCTTTGAACACAACAGGGGCATACTTAGGGTGGACTCAAAGGTGGGTGATTGATTTGGCTCAGCACTCTGGTGCTCTTAATTTCTCCACATGCACACAAGTTAACATGAAACACTGTAGCTGCTGTTATGAGGAGAACTGGGGAAAATGCCAGGACTTTAACCCAGGAGTCTTAATGTACCAACACCTCAACACACATGTACCTTCACCTCAGTAACCATTGCACCATTCCCTCAGCATTTGTGTATCTCCACAATAGCACAGGTGTACCACTGTCTCAATGTGCAGAGCAGAATGCACCTCTAGGGAGCCTTGGGAGCACCTCTGCCTTGGGCTAATGCCTCTGGCCTCTCCTAGTTGTGTGTAACTGAGACCTTGGGAGATTGGAGACTTGCAGCCTCAGCCTGTGTGAGCTCTTCCAGTCTGAGAAACTCCCAGACTGTGAGAGTGTCAGGGTATGACTACAAGCACCAGGGCCTGAATGTGATTTCCATGTTGCTTTCTGCTCTGAAGGCCCTAGGAGTCAGTGTGTAAGAGCTGCTGTCACTGTCCCAATGTGCTCAGCTGTGTATCTGCCAGTGTCAGCCATGCTAACTCATGATTGAGGCCTCCTGTGTGTCTTCCCCATAGGTTCCTTGTAATGGCTTCAGTGACATTGAAAACCTTGAGGGGCCGGAGATCTTCTTTGAGGATGAGCTGGTGTGCATCCTAAACATGGAAGGAAGGTAAGCAATGGCTTGCTCGGATCATCATCATATAATTGTAGAGGGAATTGTCAGGTGTGTGAGGAAGAGCACTGGTGTTTCCAGATACTTCACTTCTTGCCACAGTTATCATTTTGAAAAGCTCTGTGTATGTGAGATCAGCACACCAGGACAATTGACACATTGTCAGTCCCTGCAGCGGGCTCCTCATCCATGGAATCAGCCAACCTTGGATCAGAAATATCCAGAAAGCCATGCATGGGGGGCTCATATCTATAATTACATTGCTCAGGTGGCTGAAGCAAGGAGAAACAGCAGGTTCAAGAGCTGCATGGTGAGTTGCAGAACACCCTGGGCTACAAAGTGAGACCCTGTCTCAAAATAATAAAGACTTAAAAAAAAAAAAATTGTGTCAAGGGGGAGGTGGTCAGTGGGTACTTGCTTTGCAAGCATGAGGACCCAAGTTTGATTTCCGGTGGCATGTACTTGCTATCCTAGTGCTGGGCTTAATGGCCACCAACTTAACCAACTGGTGAGCACCAGGCTTCAGAGAGAGATTGTCTGAGAAACTAGTGTGTATGGTTCCAGAGGAATGGCACCTGGGCTCAACCTCTGGCCTCCATATACTTTCACAGCTGTGCACTATGCACATGCTTGCACACACACAGATCACAGCTTTACTGAGTGTGTGCAGACCCTTTTTGTTGTTGCTGTCTAAACAGTAACTGCTTACATTGCACTTAGTGATTTAGGAGCAATTTAAGGTGTAGGGGAGGGTAAGCCTGGGTCCTCCGCAAACATTCTCCTGATCAAGAAGAGGGACTGATGTCTCAGTACGGAACTGCTATACATACAGGGACCTGACTTCAGTTCCCATCAGCCACATTGGCTGGCGCCCAGCCACCTATAATACCAGTACCACATGATCTGATTCCCTCTTTTGACCTACTTGGTCATCTGTATTCACATGCACATAGCCACACAGAAATGAACTTACACAAACACGTCATTTAAAATAAAAATAAACCCTTGTCTCTTACTGTTGTTTAGAATGGCGTATCTTCTATTTTCTGCTGGAAAGCTTAATTTCCCATTCACCAGTGACTTGCCTTGCAGCCTAACCTCCTGTGGGAGAGACCTTCTCTTCTAAAAATTATAGAAAAAGTTGCACTGAGAGAGGTCACTGCAAAATGTCCAGACCGGAGACAGTGTTTCATGGGCTTTGTGGGGAGAGGTGAGATGCCACTGTTCTGGGCCTGGGGTGCTCTCCCCACC